TCCATAAATCTGCTCCTTCATATTTGTGTGACCTGCTCCATATCACCACTGTTTCCCGCCTTCTCAGGTCATCATCTTACCCTTTCATCCTCACGTCTCATCACTGTGGTGAACAGAGCTTTCAGTCGCTCTGCTCCTCGGACTCTCTTCCTCCTGCACTAAGAAATATTGACTCCCTCTCCATATTTAAGACACAGCTCAAAACACACCTGTTTAAACTGGCTTATTCACTTTAATGCTGATTTTATCTGTTGTCATGCTCTGTTTTAACTTATTTGATGTATTTTATGACTACTGTTCCTTTTATTAATTCTGTTCTTTGTAAGGTGACCTTGGGTTTCTGAAAGGCGCCCTCGAATAAAATGCATTATTGTTATTATTATTAAAAAATCCTCCTGACTAAGGTTATGTTAGTGCACAAGCATACAAAGCTTGATGACAAGAATAAGCCCTGAGGTCTGGGGACTGAGCTGAGCAGGGTGCAGCACCACCCAAGTGAAGCTGGAGGCCCACGTCGAGCAGAGAAACACCAGGTGGAATGAAGAGAACTGAGGTGGGCAGCAGTGACGCGAGCACGTGAGTGAAGGACTTCTTCAGTAGGACTGGTTCACAGCGCACACCCTGGCATCCAACAACAACAGTTACTTTGTAAATTAGTTTTTATTTGACTCAGTTTTGTCTAATATGGAATGACCAAAGTGTTTCTATTTTATTTGTATTTATTCAATAAAACCCAACATTTCATCAATGCTCTCCTAACATATACTTGGAGTGCAGAGTGATCATACCTATGGAGAAATTGCTGCGCCTGCACAATCACCTCTACCTGCGCTGCCTCCAGCAGTGTGGTGTTAGGGTTCATATCATTTCAACCGTTTCATTTCTCCTCATAGGAGGAACGAGGCTGCAGGTTCGCCATGTGGGTAACAGTCAGTGTTTGGGCCCCGGGTACACTGAGATGTACTGCTGTGTTAACCAGCACCAGTGCAGGTTAGATGAATGTCAGACTTTCCAGCACTATCACACAATCAATTCCTCTTAGGTCGAGTCAAGTGGCTTTATTGTCATTCCAACCATGTGCAGTGGCACACAGTGACTCCAACACCATGTACATGTGCTACATGTGACAGACAGCCTGCACAAGTGCAAGTGTGCACAAGTGCAAAAACCAAAACAAAGACGGTGCAAGAGACATGTGCAAAGCTCAAACCAGGTAAACTCATGTGTATGAACATGCTGGTGGCCACGAGTGCGACCCCTCAGACATTTGGTAGATCCATGTTTGAAATTCCTACCTGACTTCCTTCTTCAGTTATCGCAATTACAAGATTTTTGGAAAACTTGACCTCTGACAGTCAAGGTGACTAAAACTGAAACGTGTCTGAGATTTTTAAGCGATGCCTCTGTGGTATGACTTTCAAAACTCCAAGGCGCCTTGTTATCGAGTTATCAGGGCCACCTGGCAGGGTGACAGCCTGGCTGAGGGTCATCTTATCTGTTCACTAAACTGAGAGCTGATTTAAGGTCGCACGTCGTAGCCAAACAAACCCTGCTCCTGCACTAATGAATGTTCTTCAGCCCTGTGGCTTGCTCTCCAAACTCATCCATATAACACTCAGCCACAGTCACATAAGAATGCTCTGAGTTCACCAGTTAAAGGCCACAATGAGACAAATGACTTTTACCTTCTCCTTGTTGTGAACAACACAGTAGACCTCTGCCTCAAGAGAAAGCCGTCCTCTCGCGTCATAAACCTGCCGTCCCGTCACTCTGCTGATTCTCGGTGGTGCCGCGAGGTTTGCAAAGTAATCCGCCTGAAGGGATGGTTATGGTTAAAAACACCTCGCAGTATCTCAGTGACGTTATTTAACGACTTCTGTGTCCTCCTTACCATCATTGATAGTATGGTTCAGCAGTTACAGAGTAAATACAACATGTGTAGAAAACATTAAAAACACTTTTTATTTACATTTTAAATTCACCTGTGAAAGCAGCAGCATGTGCTGACCAGTGGCCACACTCTCACAGCCAAGGACGTGCACACAAAATAAATCGTGTAGCCAAACTGCAATTCTTGTTGCATGTTTTTACAGAACCAGATATATATATACAAATATGTGCAAGAACGCACATGAAGCCACATTACTGATGTTAGCAGGTAGAAACAGCCGACTGTTTGTGACTGCTCGTTATCCTGCACTGACGTTTGGTTTGGGGAAGATTACCTGTGAGGTGATAATGAATATTTATATGTTTTCTTATGAATACACGGAGGCTTCAGTGGCTTCAGCTTGATCTACACACTGAGTCTCCACTGAGGTGGTCTACATGCCCTTCAAAGCCAACAGCACAAAAACGTCTGACAACTTGGAAGTTCTTAAAAAATTACCAAAGCTGACAGCTGCAGATATCGCCGTCACAACCTTTGACCTCGTTCGTAAAGCTCACTGCTCCACAGCAGAGCACTGAACAAACCGTGGAGTGTTTGCAGTAACCTTATTAATCCTGTCATGTGCCGTGGCACAGTCATCAGCACAAACACCTTTCAAATTCTTTTTAAATTTTAAATATGTTCACATTGTCTGTTCTTATTTAACTCACTTAATGTACAGAATTCACCTGCTTGCTGCATACATGCTACTACTGCACATTCACCTAATGTATATCATATATAATGCTCTTCCTCTCCCCCCTTTTGCACAAGTCGAGCAGCGTGTCAGGTTACATTTCACTGCGTGTTATACTTGTATAACTATGCATGTGACGAATAAAGAATCTTGATATCAAATGAACATTTATGACAGGACGTGCTCTTACAGGCCTTTGAGATCTAACAGCACGAAAACAGCAGAGGAAACGGGCGGACGCTAACGCTGTCATTCCAAACCAAGGGCGTAGATTCAGTTTTGGCATTGGTGGGGACGGATGATTCAAACACCGAACCCTGCCCTGTTTCTTTTTTTTTCATTTTGTCTTTGCTTCTTGATAAAAG